GCATCCTTATAATTAAACTTTTCCATTAACTAAAAGATCTCGAATTGAGAGAGAAAGAGAGAGGGTGGGTAAAAGATAGAGGTGGCAACAGACCCTACCAGCCCCAGGATCCGACAGGTGGACGCAACTTCAGATCCGAGTTTGGTTTTAAGTCGTGGTCTAGTCGAACCCGATCTGTATCTTTAAACGGTCAGAGATAAAATACTTTACTTTAAGTCGTATTCGTTTGGAAGTATTAAGGATAGTATGCAATAAAAACTCGTAGTCATATTTAACTATTAAACAATAAATTAGATATCTTACAATCTAATAGTGGGTGATTGTGACCTTGTTGTCATTATTATATTTATATGATGGTAAATAAAAGAAAGAAAAAAGCACATAATCAGAAGGTGGGAATCCACCGGACCGGACCTGAGACCCAATGGGTATTGTTATGATTCAATTTTTGGACCTGAAAGGTCGGGTCTGATCCAAAACCTAGGCTTGAATACTATTTAGGTCCGGTCCAGGTCCATCCTGCATGGAAGAAGACATCTTGGCCACAAACTCTTTAATGTTATTATCTGAACTGCCCCCATCGGCGACAGCCTCCCGAGCCAAATCTCTCCACCTCTCTGCATTCCTCCTCAACTCTGCGCCCCTCTCACCTTCCATCACCTCCCTTATGCACCTCTCTAGTTCTCCTCTACGAACCACTTCTGTCTCGTCTGCCTCGGCACGCACGCCCAACTTCCAGACGTCGGAAACGAGCTTTGAGTTTGTTGGCTGGTCACTCCACTGCGGAATCGCGATCATGGGCACCCCTTGGGTTAGCCCCTCGAGTGTCGAGTTCCATCCGCAATGGGTTACGAAACATCCGACAGCTCTATGCACAAGGACATCGAGCTGTGGGCACCAGGGCACCACCAGCCCTTGCTCGGATGTGGCCTCTATAAATCCCTGTGGTAATGCATTTCCACCCTTTTGGTTTGCAAATGGCAGCCTCACCACCCATAAGAACGGCCACTTGCACCAGCGCAAGGCACCGGCGACCTCCTCCATTTGCTCGGGGGAAAGAGCTGCCAAGCTCCCGAATGAGACATACACCACGGACCCGGCAGACCTGTCATCTAGCCAATGGAGACAATCGGTGGGCTTCCCTTGTTCATCACTTGTCTTTGATGCTCTTGGATTTCTGCTGCCTATGTAGACTGATGGAAGCGCCGGCCCGATCAACTTCGGAGACCAGGGCTCTGCCATCTCCCTCCTTACTTCTGCCTCTAAGCTGTCAAATGAGTTCACAAGCACATAATCTGCTTGGTCTATGTTCTTGAACTGGCCCGACAACAACTCAAGGTGGTAAGGATCGCCTTCAGTTTGGGTGATGAACGACGGTAGATCTCGCAAGCCCAACAGCGGCAAACCTGGGATCGCTACACATCCATCGGGCTCTTTCGGCAAGACTGGAAACCCACGAATGTAGCGAATGTATATGGTGCACACTGCACAAGGCTGCGTGAGGAAGGTAACCCCGAGGATACCATGGTGATGGGCAACATCTAAGGCCCAAGGAAGAAACGAGTTGTAGATGAGGCAGACGGGTCTCGCACCCTCTAAAGTCAGCCGATCTATGAGGTCGCCCACTGCCCGTGAGCCGACACGGCTGAAATTGGAATCTTGAGCCTTGAGACTGAGATCTAGCGGAAACCCATTGTCGTGGCCATCGGAGAAGAATTCAAGATTGACAGAGGCAAGGGCAGAGGGGTCTGCCTTACGAAAATCGCCTCGGCTTCGAATCGGGGCCACGATAGTAGCCCGGAAGCCGTGGCTAGCAAGGCGATCAGCAAATTGGAGCAATGGGTTTATGTGGCCTAATAATGGATAGGGAAGAAGCAGAACATGAGCACTCTTGGCCGTCTCCTCCTCCATTCTATATCCTTACCTTACTGGTTTAGCGGACGTGCAGGAGAGAGATGGGGGACCAATTTATGGACCACGAAATCAACCCCACCTCACTCAAAAAGACAAGTAATGTGGCGTCATGGATTGAACGCTATTTCTTGGCTGGTTGCTGTGAAATAGAAGCATATTGGACCAAGTTTTGCTGTCTTATTTCACAGGGGACTATTATAGTTTGATTGGTGCCGGCCCAACCCTCTTTTCCTTCTTATTTTTCTATTGAAAAGTATTTTTTTCATTTATTTTTGGCCCGGCCCAACCTTAACAGAGCATGCTTGGGCCAGCGCCATGGGGACAAGGGCTGGGCAAGGGCAAGGGCCTGGCCTGGGCTGGCCCAGGCCTATCCCGTTGCCACCCTTAAACAAAAATAATTATATAATAATAAACTAGATAAACATGATCGGACCTAGTTCTTGTCGTGAGGGCGGAACGAAAACCCATTCCTAAAAGGGCAAGATCTTTCTTTTCTTATTTTTGTGCTTGGCTTGAGAGATTAGTTTGGGATATGGGTGAGTCAAGATTGGGTAGGTTAGGGGTTTAATATTCACCTATTTTTATAAAGTAATGAATTACATAAATGCACCACTCTGAATTTCTTTTAGAAATTAAAAGAACATTATTTTTAGATATTTAAATTGATTTTTGGAAAACAATTGAGACAAAACATACCAATTCAGTTGATTCTTCGATCCGACACGGATATAGGTGAGGATAATCCGGGTCACCTATACGTTTTTTTTAACCTTGTTCCAAATACATAAGAAGGTCACATCACAAGCTCTTTTCTAACTCTCCTCTTTTATATATATATATATATATATATATATATAGTAGG